GAAATGCAAACAGGTAACGTCCCTACAAGATTTGAATGCTGAAGCTGACAAATACAGGTCAACGGAATTATAAAAACGTCACATTTTATCATTGGCAGCGAGGTGCCTGTGGTGTTTGAGGAGGAGCGTGATGATGTTCAGCTTTGTGTGGCTGATGATGGTTCAGTGAAGCTCATCAAAACAGGTGCTAAAATGGGAATTACCACTTCTCAATCAGCATGATCGTGTAAACCTCTTCAGATTGATTAATTACCTTGTTCTCTCGCTAGTGTCTTGCCGACGTTGTCAGACGTGCCGTGATCGAATTTTGTAACATGGACTCATAGCATATACTATCCCCTAATTTACATATATTACGACCACGCTTACAATGCTGGTGCAGCTCGATTTTCGACGGCTGGTGTATATACCAGACAGCGGTTAGCCCTCAATCCGATCGAAAGCATCAGCAAGACTTATGAATACATATAACTATTTTGACTTAAATTCTCTGAGCTATTAGATCAAACACAAATAGAAAAAGCGCCTTGTTCCTAGACTCGAAGAGATCATAGAGCCCAAGATGGCAAAGCGGTCAGTCTTGACGTAAACGTGCGGGACGACAATCGGCGATCTTTTTATTCTTAACATTGCTGGTCTACACCGCATATGATTGACATCTGGTACATAGTAGGTCATTACTGCCGTAACTTATGCGATCGCTAGAGCTGGTAGTTAGAGCTTCGATTCATCAAGTGTTTTCTCTCTGAGAGGAAGCACTACGGCTACGGGTTTCCTGTACTTGGTGATAACTACAGTACATGTTCTAGCTAGTGCGAGTTACAAACATATAATTTTTCGGTCTCATATGCATTCCATAAGCTAGAACTAACGTCTAGGCGATACAAAAATGCCACACGAGGAGCTTGCCCCTCGATGTGTGAATGTACGCCAGCTGCAGGCTTGGGCAAAGGGCTCTAGCAGGGATGTGTTACTCTATCAGCGCTCACACCTATCTGTATTCTGACAAAACCCTTTTGCTCTAGATCTTCAGTCACGTCGATCGTATAGATTTACTTCCCCGCACTTGGCCGTGAATTGCTCTTCGAATAAAGCCACCACTTTCTCAGCCTGATCCTGCACGCTCAAATTACCTGCTGTTCACACATTATCTTCGTATTGCCCTGGTATTCGTTTTCTAGCTCTGTTGCAACACTTGTTCTTTTCAGAGCCAGATGTACGATCCGTCTGATTCCGACACGCAACATGACCATGCACTCTTACAGGATATCGAAACACAACCACGTAAATCTCGAGTTCAACAGGCTTGCAGGTTGTGTCGCAACCGTAAGCAGAGATGCGATGGATCTTCTCCCTGCAAGCCATGTACAGACAGCGAGAAGTTGTGCGAGTATGAAAGCGTGCCACCAGCAAAGTATGCAGCTGAACATTATCTAATTCATGGCCAACCACTAACTCTTCCTAGGAGAGATCAAAACTTGGAGAATCTAGACAAAAAAGTAACAGAAACACTTCGTGCAGTGCGCGCTATCACTACCCACATGAAGGTACCATCCACAACCCTTGAGGGACTTTCTGTCGCTGGCGCCTCACGTCTCAAGCCGCTTGGAGTTAGTCAAGAGATCCACGTGGAGTCATTCTCGTCCTCAAGGCTGCGCGAGCTTGCCAAGGCATATATCGAAGATGTGCATGTCTTGCACCCCATGTTTGAAGAGCCATGGAAGATGTGCGAAGAGTTCATCGAAAATTACAGCGATAGCGCAGCGACAACGGGATCTATCATGTCGAGTCTGAAAAACGCTATCGTGCTACTCCTTCTCGCGCTTGGGAGCTGTAAGCCCATCAGCGATGGTACAAAGCATTCCGGCGTACTTCCAGGCATAGTATATCACTCCTACGCCCGAGCCATTCTCGCCAGCAATCGTGAAAAACATGATATAAGTGTTGTGCAAGTCATGACCTTGACTGCGCTATATGAAAATCAAATTGGGATGCTCCAGGAGAGCTACGCGAGCGTTAGTTATGCTTACCGCATATACACAGATCTTTGCAACCAGTAAGGTAAGTTGTGGCTATTTGGCGTATTGTGCTAATCGAAGGTAGTGCTGGGTTTTCCAGAGATGCTTCGGATATCCAAAAACAGAATATTTCCTTCTCAGAGGAGACGAAAAGGAGCTTTTGGATATGTCAAGATCTGGCACGGTCAGTCACTACAATGAAATCAGTTTACTGTTCTAACGTTTCTTTTAGCGGTATCAACGCTTGCCTCAGCATTGTCTCAGCGGATCCCGTCCGCACCTTGGGACGCGACATATTTCCTGGAGAGAGCCCAGAAGAGGGCCCTGAGATGGTTCTCGCGACCAGAGTATTGCTCCGGAAAACGTTTGACGAAGTGAAAAAGCTTGCGCCGACAAAAGACACTGCCATGGGGAGAATTGATGAAGATGACCTGGTGCACTTAATGAGCTTTGCGAACACCCAGCTTGAGTTTCTAGAATGCTGGAGATCGGTGCTTCCATCACAGTTGGCTTGGGAAGACAAAGAGCTTCCATCGACCGACCCCCTCATGGCTTCGTTACGAGCAGAGTATTACAATAATAGGGTCAAGTTGTTACGGCCATATTTGGAAATCATACGAAACTGCGAGTGTTTCAATGTTGCGGTGGACAGACCGTCTGCAGGTCAGCGAAAGCTCTTTGGAGTCGCCCTCGACTGGGTAAACAGTGCTCTTTCAAGCATTATTGCCTTTGACCGTATTGGTACGAGTTACGACGGTGTATACGAGACGTATCGTACTGCATGCAGAAGTTCAGTAATGTTGAGTAATCCTGTAGAAACACTCCATGCGCAAGTCACCTCACCCGTCAAGTGCTTTTTCGAGACTAACGCTTACCAGGGAATTCGAGAACATCATTATCCTTGGAGCTATCTATTACTCCGCAATCTATCCGTCGTTAGTCGGACGGACACAACTCACAGAGACGAGCCTGAATATCCTTCGGCTCCGCGCAATGGATAGATTGTCGAAACATTGGCCAAAGTCCCCACTCTTAGCTCGAGATCTCGCAATATTGCGTGTTCTTTGGCCACAAGGGGACTTCGTCGCTCTACTAGACCTAGCTGGCATACTCGCTGGTGTGAGCACTCCTTGAAAAAGGCATATCAAGCGTAAGCATAGTCTTGAGCCCCGCTTACCTTCAGAGCTCCTTTGATCAAGTATTATCTAGTACGAGCTTTTGTGTCCCCAGTCTCGCTAGGTTACGACAAGCTGGCTGTATCTTTTCCAACGAACTCTCGGAGAGGTCATGTCTACGCGTAGCATGTTAGTTCAACAGAGTGGGGTCAGTGGCTTAGTTGTATTTGACAGTAAGATCATCTAGACTAACATATCACCTGGTAAGATTGCGAGACAAGATGCTCAAAATCGATTTTGTGTCAAAACCAGACTTTGCTTTGCCTAATTCTCTTGGAACGCTACCAATGCCACACAGATAATTTAATCAGCATGAATTCGTTGATCCCAATACTTCGAATGGTTTGAGAAGAGGCAGAGCGCAGTCCTATCTGCTGTCGATGAAACCCGGTTTACGTGGAGGGACGATTCAATACAATACGGAATACGTTAAGATAACAACTTGCAGAAAAGCACTCCAGAAAGGGAACACCATCATCTCAGTCACCCATACGCCGAGAGATTCGTCAGTGGCAATATGGTGGCGGTGCAGAAGATAGCCCGGGCCTTGTGACAACCTGATCGACCCAACTACTGACATGATAGATGATTTGATGTCGAAGCGCTCGGGCGCGATCGCGGTGCGAAAGAGGCGGTGAGTACTGTTCCGAGTTGTAAGGCTTATGGATATGGATAACGGATATGACGAGACACATTTCGTGCTGTTTACGGTAGAATGTAAGAAGTCTAATATGGACTTGGGACCCGGACGAGTATATATTCACTAAGTTACGGCCCGATGCTCCGGACCTGCCTTATTTTGTTGGTGCCTCACAAAGTCGTAGCTGCTCTCAGGCTTGACGATACATTAATCGACTAATCCTACATTCCCAGGACATATGGAGTACACAGAGAAGCCAGATACTACTCTTCCTTAATTGCCATGGCAGAAGATTTAACAACCCTCAAAGCCGCATTACAAGCGGTCAGCAAAGCACCTCCTCAGTCGCTCATGCTCCACGCTCGGGACCTCTGTCAGGCCAATCTTGCTATCGCAGAAGCATTTGTCTTCATCAGGCAAAGCAACAGCTACCACACCACCAGGATCGAAACCGAAGTCGAAGCTGAGCATACCGTGGTCCCTGAGGATACCGACATCTCATACGTTCAGACGCGAGATCAGGAGGCGAAAGTTATCCATGAGACACACGACATGCTACGAAACCACACATCTTGGCGGGAAAGATCAGAAAACGTAGTCATGAAGCTTGCGCAGCACTGGGTTTATGGAAAATTGACAGGGTCTAGTTCCCGTGCCATCAGTGATGCAGATGAACACAGGCTGTTGGTTGATCTGCGTCAGGCTGTGCTATCAAGCACTCCGGCCGTGTTTACATTGCTCAGGGGAATAAAGAGAAAAAGATCTGCGAACGGCCTTTGATGCGAACACAGATGTGTCCGCCCAGTCTCATGCGGTGTATCCGTCACAAATATCTGTCAGGCCAGGCTTTACCTTGAAAAGTCGAGAATAACAAAGGGATGAACAAACTAGGAAGTTCGAAACTCAAATTATCCAGAATATGCCATTGTATACTACTGTAACTTCAAGCAGTGTCAGTGCAATGTCTTGTGTAGAAGTGCTACAGTTACAGTACGATGAGTGAGGCTAATCGCTTGGTTTCGCACGTGAGCGATCGCCAGAAGCAAAGGCCGAGCCTGCGCACGGATCACAATTGCACCGCCAGCTCTTGCGACCTGTGCGCTGACGACGCGTTCGCGTGGGCGCGCTACAGTGTAGGACAGAGAGTTCCGCGTCTGCTGTTTCGCAATGGCAGCGCGACATCCTTCCGATAGCGAGTCCATTGACGCGTTATTAGCGGCTGCCAAACAGCTTGTCCGGCAACTAGAAGAGGTCAAATCGGCAGAAGCTCACCACGAACGCGCTCACAGTAGGCCGAGACCGAGAAACGCATCCTCGAAGCAGTCGATCTGCAAATCGGATCTCGCGGCGACGTTCAAGGCGATTGTCAAGGAAGCGCAGGCGCAACTCACAAAACTCGGAGAGCTAGAGACACGCGAAGTCGAGGGACACGAACCTGAAGAACGCGAAGCCGAGACGCAAGAGCGGCAGACACACGAGCGAGAAACACAAGAGCGGGAGGTCTCAGCGCTACCTAGGCAGGGACATGTCGACCAGACTCCAACAGAGCGGCGGCTGTCAGAGCGTAGAACAGGGGACTACAATCTGCGCTTTCCATGCCTGCTTTCACAGCTAAGGAAGAACATGGTTGTCGCCATCCAAGACGCGCGGCACGCCTTACGCTGCCACAACGTCGACGAGCGCGGATACCTTATTCTGCAAGTGCAGCATCGCTGGGATGCTTCAGAACTCACACAACTCCTCCGCGGCGCCCAGGCGTCGGACCGGGACGAGATCAAAGGCTTTGCACTTGCTCAGGGAGACGCCGACTGTCTGCACGCGCAGGTCGCTGCAGACACTTCGCTCAACCTTTGCGACATGGAAGGCTTCAGTGAAGCGTGTGCTTCTCAGCAGCCCAAGGAAGACTTTGAGGAGTGGATAGCAAGACCTCCCGGCCGCGTTCGATATCTGATCTGCGAACCACTGTCTGATCACAGCATCAATACTCTGCTAGACGCTGGGCCGCAGTGCAATCGCCGGCCTGAGATCGCCGGCGTTAACCGTCCGTACTGGTACGTCAGCTGCGAACCCAACACACCCGCAACGTTGCACGTCGAGGACGGCAATACTGGGTCTGCGAACCTGCTGCTCGCAGGCGCAGAAAAGCACTGGATCATCGTTCACCGAAGCAGTGCTGAGAAGCTCGAGCGCTGCATCAGAGACCAGTTCCCGACTTCTAGAGCATGTTCGCAGTTTGTGCGGCACCACAACGTCATCGTAGGACCTCGATGGCTCGAAAGGAATGGTATCAACTATGAGCTGGTATGTCAGAAACCGGGAGACGTCTTGGTCACTCTACCAGGGCGTGTCTACCATGAGGTCCGAAACACTGGCATGAACTTCGCGATAGCTATCAACTACGAGTTTACTGACGCTCCCGACGATCCAACCGACTATATGTGGTGTGAGAGCGGCGAGAGGAAGTGTGGCAGAAACGTGCTCACTCGTCAAAGCTTCGTGCCCGACTTCGTCGAGCCAGTTGTGGATTCCGGTGATGGGGCGCCTCCACTAACAAACAAGCGGAAACAACAGGAGGTTGACACTGCTCAGAATAAACACAAAAGACACGCCATGCTGGCTCGCCGTCCTGCGAGCAGTAGGCCTGTTCACACCTCCAGACCGTCGTGCACACCTGTCCCAGCTTCAGCGCTTGTACCGATTGAGGAACGCCTGCTAGAAGCCGTCCTTAGCCCACGAGCTCTGCGTAACTGTATAGCACTGATTCGCGCATGGAGATCCCAGTTGGCTCGGATCGAGCTCGCTCCAGCTGCGAGCGACCAGATCGCGAGGCTTGCCGCCTCTGACATGAGAATTCGTCTTGCTCAGCACCGCACCTGGCTAGATGCTCTGCACATGAAACCAGCGCAGTATGCGTTCGCTTCCGAGATGGACTCGCGGCGGCAGGGCGCCATTCGTCTCGACAGTTCCGTGTATGATCAGGTGCTGAAAGCGCAGGGCTTCGTCAGCGCGACGAAGAAGGACCGCGAGCAGCTAAAGGGACGTGTAAAGCGCGCAACGAAGATCTACCAGATCTGCCAAGGCTTCGGACGTGGGCTCCTTTGCTTTCTCCCCTTTACGGACATCCCTGACAATCACTACTACAGCATGACAAACGGCAGTATCGAAGCCTTTCAGCGTCTGGCGACGGAGAAGCGGACGCTCCTAGAGGCAAGATGTCAGGTCGGTGTTTTCATCCAGGATATGTTCGCGAAGGATGTAGAGTTCACGTTTGAGTACGACAACGTGACCTCTTTCGACCATCTCTTGGAAGCTGAAATGCTCGCGCTCCTGCAGCCCGTTTCTTACCCGAAGGTCAACTCGTATACGCCTGACCATGACTGGCCTAGACCACCGTCCTGGCCATGGGAGTGGCCCCAGGATCCCACGTGGGCTCCGCCGAGTGCCTGCGAGACCTGTGGCGTCGAAGAGTGCACCTGTCTTGCTGGGTTGCATCAGAACCGCCACCGCGTCGTCGACTACGGCTCGAAAGGACGGGGCATCCAAGCTCTGGCGGCTTCAGGTGGGGGCTTAGCTTTCACCGAGGGCGAGTACATTCAGGAGCTAGTCGGTGAGGTGAAGCCGCTGGACTGGTCCACCAGTAGCTACACGTCTGTCGAGCTTGAGAGGCCGGATGTAGGCACGACCTGCAGACTGCATTGCAAAGAGAAGAGCAATTGGGCTCGACTGGTCAATCATGCCTGCGACCCTTGTGCGGAAATGACGGTGAAGATAATCTCCGGCCGAGCACGACTGATGCTTCGCGCACGACGAGATATATGGGATGGCATGGAGATCACGGTCGATTACGGCAGCAGCTTTGCAAGAGATGAAGCATGTTTGTGCGCGACGTGTAGCGGAAGCGCTGCACCGACAAACGACAAACGACGAAAGTTGAAGCGATAGTTAGATACAACTCAGCAGGTATCGATGGGGTCTAGACGCTAGGCTCACGTTGCGGCATTGCCTGATCTCGCGTTAGAGGGGCGACGCCGTATGAACGACAGCTCGAGCAACATGCAAGACTCGCTCACGACTGGTAGGTGGAGAGTACAGGCTTGCACTGCTAGTGTATTGTTTGCTAACGACTCTATGGTGTGCTTTGGTCATACTTGCAGCTTGAACGTTGTGATTACGAACCTCCGGATCGCTTACTGAGACGCGGTTGGGGTTGCTACGCCTCCAGATATACTCACGTTCGCTGCCCCGGCTCCGGGGCAGTCTGAAGAGAGAGTCCCGTTATTGCACATGTAGCTGCCCACCTCCGCTTTAAAAGCGTCCGACACCTGCTCCAACCCGGGGTACCACGTCTCTTCGCCTCCTTGGTCCATGAGCGGCGTGTTGCAGTTATCATCACTAATTAGATAGTCAGGGCTTGAGCACTCATCCGCCACGAGACTGAACGTACCTGTAGAAGCGGCAACACAAGCCTAGCTCGATGGCGATGGAGTCAACGTCATTCAGCCGGTCAGTAGCGACACAGCGATCTGGCGAAGTGATTGGTGCACTGCATTCTCGCCAGGCTGTGTTGGAGCAGAAGTGAAGCTGTGTATCGCTGTCAACCGTGGGCATGGGCGCCTAGTGCTTTGCTGTCCTACCTTTGGTGCGCAACCCGCCTGCTCGACTCGATTGTTCTGGAGCGATACAATTGTTGTTTGCGCGAACGCGTTGGCAAAGAGCGCGCTCGGGACGGACACGTGTAGAAAGCGCATGTTGAAGCTAGGAGATATTTTGGCTCGAGCCTGTAGATGCACTCAGTAGGCATTAACACAGAGCCGCGTTATATACTCGATATCTAATGCTGTGGCATCTGCTTTCTTGCTAGATGCATGTTTAGGACGACCTCAGTTTGTGCAGGCGTTATGCTTATCAAGTCGCGTCTCGCTATCCTTGAGCAGCGCAGAACGGCCAGGCAAGCGGCTTAGAAGCCAGTAGAGATCGGAATCGTTTTCTCGCTCTCGCACACTATAATTACTGTGGTTATTCGTTGACTAGAGTTTCAAGCGCTTATGCTCACCTTGACACCAAAATGGCGTGGTGGGTCGAGCGCGGTACAACTCGAGCGACTAATTAGGTGAAGAATCAAAAGCTCTACGACGGTGTCACTAGCAAGAGCATGCAGGTCATTATACATGGTGCTAATATCAGGCTAGATACATCACCGGAAATTAGATATCTCTTGGGAATAGAGGCGTTCGTGGAGTCCTGCATGTAAGATGGACCAAATACACTGCGCTATAACATCTCAAAGTATATCTAGTACTGGACTACCAAACGCTTTCCCCTTCTGTTGTCCGTCCTGAAATGCTATCTCGGTCATCTCTGGCATCAACGCGAGACGCTTTGCGCTTCTGGCGACACCAGTGCAATAGATAAAGCAGCATCGAAATTGCTACAATCGCGCATGCCAGTATCACGACAATCAGGGTTGCGCGACCACTGCTCGTATCTTCCTGAGGAAGAGGAGAAGAATAGGGAGACGCCGCGAGCATGTTAAGCAGAGCGTGTTTGAAGTTGAGTTTGCAATTTTGTTTGGATTAGATGTTGGCAGACTAGCTAAGTCAAAATTTGACGGGAGGTTGGGAAAGCTCAACTAAGGTGCGTCCCTGAGTGGAGAGACACACCATGTCACGAGACGGGTTGGCTGTTCGGACCTTTGGCGCCCCTGACGAGCAGATTTGTAGAGTCGTCATTCATCTACAATGTTCATGGAACTATTCTCTTCCGCGTCACTAGGCTCCGACTGCGATCTCTGCACTGTTGATCATGCTGTCAATCATCCCTTGAACGCCGTGAAGCAACGCTCTCGCAATACCCCCCTGTCTGCTCGACATCTGAGGAGTTTCCTCAGATATCGGAGGCTTGTGGATGAAGCGCGTTTAGTGAAGGTCATTTCCTTAGTGTTCAGAGGCTGCTTTAGCGCAGGCGTGTGCATGCCGGGACCTCCGAAGTGTGGGTGAGGTGATCCCTGCACAGTTGCCCGGGCAGTAGTATCCCGCTAGCGCCTCATAGCACCCCTCAACCTGCATTAGTGCATCGGTAGGGTCGCTGTATTATATTGTAATATATTTGGCGCTATACCTACCTGGAGCAGCCCTTGTGGCTGGTGTGGCGCATGCTAACGGAATCGAGTCACGTTCGATCGCGTGTTCTTTACTGCTGACTCAAAACGCTTACTATGTGCTTGAGCGAAGCTATTCCACTCTTAATACACAATCGTCTTTCTTTGATGAATAAGCACCTGCATTAAGCAGCATTTTGACCTCCTGCTCGTGGCCTTCAACTGAAGCTGCCGGCAGTGCGTTGCTGTAGCGGCTACCCTGCGCGTTGATGTCGGCGTCTTTGTTTAGCAGCAGTCTTGTGATCCTGCTTCAGCCCAGTAATGCGGTTTGATACAACAGCGTGGCTATGATTCATAGACTTCTGTCTAGATCTGGTTCTCCATAAGGTTGGTCCGGATCACACAGCTGAATCCAGACAAGATATGCCGCGGTTTTCACCGACATCAAACTCATCGCTACTCGACTCACTTCACCCATCTCGTCTCCTGTGTTCCGAAGATGGCTGCTTCAGAATTCTGCTGCATACCTTGCCAGTGCGAATACCTCCAGGACCTGTGTTAACAACAACTGCTAGAACTGGGTCAGGTACATCAAGGAGACTTGTTGGGGCCATTGCTCTACCCCCGGGTAGACACAATGAACATGGACCCGGCGCCTGTCCTGCCACGTACTGATTGAATGGAGAGATTGCTGTGATAGGGCAGGTTTGTATTAAGGACCGCCCGAATAGATATTACAGTTAGGAATGCTACGGCGAAAGCTAGGTGGAGACATGGGATCAGACGGAAGCGCGGAAGGTGGTGGAGTTGCCGAGTACGCAACAGAAACGGACTGAAAGCACACAGCTATCGATCACGATCTTGAAACGCAGGAGCAGAGAGGCTATAAAGCCATAGCGAATTCGAAGAATGAGAGTTACAAGGGGGCAAGCCATGGAGGCTTTGTAAGATAGGTACAGGAACATTTCTGGAGTTCCCTACTTTGATAGCATCCCCAACGCGAACACCTCCAAAGTCTTTACCCATGATAGATTCACGTAAAGACTTCAGATGCTTGGTATGGCCATGTATCCCAAAAACATGGCTCCTAAGGTAAGTGCAAACCCTGAGACAGCAAATGCACCTTGTATGTCCATCCTCTTTACTGACCAGACTATACCAAAGACCAAGCTAAACAAGGTGGTTGCGACGAAGCAGCAGTAGATCGTTGGCCAGTGCCAATCTTCTTCAATATGAAGCCCCCAGCCGTTCGCCATGCTGTCTGGATTGGCTCTGAGCTCTTCCTGGAAACGTCGTTTTGGTAGCTGATTGAGAGTTGTCCTTTGGCCAGCCGCGATAAAGTGTGGGTTGAAAAAGTCTCCTTTCAACATTGTAGGGCCAAGGACAGGCACCAAACGCCGGTTCCCTGACCTTGGGGCTGGATTGCAAAGATACTCTTTGTCATGTCCTACTATGCCTATTGGGGGAATACAGAGACACTGGTGTTGATCAGTCGTGATCCCGCATATATTCTCGTGGCGGTATACGTTGGTGGCATTGCTGTAATTCACTTCAAACTGGCAAGGAGTCAGTATTCACACGGATCTGTTGGCACTTGAAAGCCTACCTGGGCCAGGGACAGAGTCCCGACGCTTCGCAAGGTGAACCAACTGCGCTTCGTAAAGTACTGTTTACGTAGATGAGTAAAAAGCTCACGGTCATCGTTGATGTTCTGAAGCACTTCCTGCTTCAGTGTTGTCTTCGCCCTCCCGTCATCCACACATAACAGTAGGCGAAGAGCTTCTTGTTTTGGGGTTTCATCTTCTCTTCCAAACACTCCAGCATGAGCAATCGGAGCAGGTCCCTGAAAGGGTGCCTGCAAGGTATGTTTTCCTTCTTCAGCGTCTAAGCGCAACTGCTTTTGGGCTCCATTTTGCCGACCAAAAACGTTGCGGAATCGCTGGAGAATTCCGGACATTGGTCTTCCATTACCACCAGTCTGTTCTGAGAGCGTGTATCGCTTCGACAGTGCTGCCTCGAGCTCCACTGCAGCGCCAGAATCTAGCTCAACATAGTCATCGAACATGCTCTTGCCACTCTGATGTAGTTGTCAGTATATCATCAAAGAAAATATACATTGCGACGTACCGATGTCCAGTGGACACGTGTTTTTCCTGGAGGTACTGGAGGCTCTAGGACTGTGATAGGTATGTGTCGCAAGACCTTGTCCACGAGCAATGGCAAGCTGAAGGAGAACATGGGGTCGTATAGAGTTGCCTCGGATTGTCTTGTGTCTTCTTTGTTGTGAGTTGGAGACCCAAGTTCTGGTGGGAAGTCAAATTGTGAATTGCGGTGCGGACACTCGAAATGAAAATAGCTCACGCGGCCGGAAGTATGACCCAGAACCATGTTCCGTCCATTTACTGCGGTACAGGTTGCACGATAATCCGGGGGCAACCATAGAAGCCTCTGAGAGCCTAGCATGACCCATTCGCCAGCCACGAATAGATCACCCTGGTTATGCGTCAGTTGCATATCAGAGTTGAGTCTGATAAAACCCGTGTTAGTGTTTTCGTAGGAGCCAACCGCAGAAAAGTTTTCTCGAAAAACAGGAGCTCTTAAAGAGATTCTCGCAGGCAGAGCGCTTGGCTTAAGATCCCACAGATCGAAAATACCATGTTCCGAGCCGGTGACCAATCGTTTCCCATCCGCCGAGAATGCGAAAGTGGTGACAGGGCTATTGCTCGATCCAAGCGTTGCCTGCAACTTGCCCACCTCGCCGTGTTCGGCACTAACAAGCCTGACATGGCAATCACCTGAGCCTAAAACCAGTTGTTTACCATCTGGCGAAAAAGCGATGGCAGTTGCTGAATTGTATTCACTGTGGTCGTCGAATCTCGCGACCTCCGTGCGAGACTCAACATCCCAGAGCCTGACGGTACAATCTCCCGAGCATGAAGCCAACAACGCGCCATTCGGTGAGAAGGCCAGGGAGGTAACACATTCACTGTGGCCCACCAGGGTCGCGGCTACATCACCAGATTTGTCACCCCGGAGCGAAATGGTACAGTCGCCTGAGCCTACTGCCAGCCACTCGCCGTCTGGTGAAAAGGCTACGCAGTGAACGGATGAGTCATGGTTCTCAAGCCTCGTGACCTCCGCGCGAAACTCAGCATCCCAAAGCCTGACAGTATGGTCCCACGAGCTTGAAACTAGCCGCTTACTGTCGGAAGAGAAGACTATGGATAAGACTCCGATACTATGATTCCTAAGCGTTGCGATGGCAATGCCCGAGGCGACATCCCAGAGCTTAATAATACCATAGTCCAAGCCTGCCGCCAATCGTTTGCCATCCGGAGAGAAAGCCACAGACAGGACAGTCAGGCCATCGCTCTCAAGTATCCTAACAGCTGCGCCAGACTCAGCATTCCATAGCCTAACATTGTTGTCTTCTGAACCAGAAACTAACAGCTTGCTGTCGTGCGAGAAGGCTAATGGAAAATCGCATGCGCCGTGGCTCATGGTAAATTTCTCGCCGTGGTCCTTGAGCATCGCGATGACAGCGCCGGACTTGGCATCCCAGAGCCCGACGCTGCCGTCATCAGCGTAAGATGCCAGTCGCTTGCTATCTCCAGAAAAGGTCAGGGAGAAGACAGACACGTCTTGGCTCGTGAGCGTTGCAACCAGTAGGCCAGAATCAGCATTCCAAAGCCTGACAGTATGGTCCCACGAGCTTGAAACTAGCCGCTTACTGTCCGGCGAGAAGGCTACAGAGAAGACTCCGATACTATGATTCCTAAGCGTTGCGATGGCAATGCCCGAGGCGACATCCCAGAGCTTAATAATACCATAGTCCAAGCCTGCCGCCAATCGTTTGCCATCCGGAGAGAAAGCCACAGACAGGACAGTCAGGCCATCGCTCTCAAGTATCCTAACAGCTGCGCCAGACTCAGCATTCCATAGCCTAACATTGTTGTCTTCTGAACCAGAAACTAACAGCTTGCTGTCGTGCGAGAAGGCTAATGGAAAATCGCATGCGCCGTGGCTCATAGTAGGCTTCTCGCCATGGCTTTCGAGCACCGCAACGACCGTGCCAGACTCGGTATTCCAGAGCTTGAGATTACCGTCATCGGCGTGCGAAGCCAGCCGCTTGCCGTCGCGTGAGAAGTCCATTAGGCCGTCGCGGCTTTTGACTGTAGCCCGCAGCTCGCCCGTCTCGACATCCCAGATTCTCACGGTGCTATCCCAAGACACCGATGCTAACCGCTTGCCGTCGAGCACAAAGGCGGCATACGTGACGACATCACTGTGACCCTCGAAAGTCTGCAGGCACGCTCCCCAGCTGTCGTTCACGGTTGGCTCAACGGTAATCCACTTCGGCTCTTCATGCTGGAACGTCTTCCGAACTAAACTCTCTTTTGGACTGAACAATAGCGCAGATGCATACGTTTGAAGAGGACAACTCTCGATTGCCCTTTTGTAATACGTGACAAATCGGTGTGCGTCGTGAACAAGCCTCGTCAGCTTGTCTGCACCCGGCATGTCCTAGTAGTGTTAGCATGTGTATTCAAAGCTTTATTGCGAACAAAAAACCTGAGAATGCCATACCTGAACTAGAGAGCAGAGCTTTGACATAGAGACTACGCCTTTTGCCATGCTTCTGCACAGACTGAGCCCTTCTAGCCAGTAGAGATACTTCTCCCTCAAAAACATATCGACGAGAATTACAACTTGCCGGCCACTAACACTGTTCGCCTGGAACTTGAGTCTTGAGTCGAACAGGTGATCGACCCAGTAGACGCAAGAGTAGCGTGACGATGCTAGCGGGTCCAGATTAGGCGGTTTGGCGTCCTCAATAGGGTATCCTGGTTCTTCCAGGTTGTACATGTCCCTGTGCAATGTCTCGGACAGAGTCACGAGCGATCTGGAAAAGATCATTTGATGGATAGGTTGGGTTCCATCTGGAAAAATCTCATCAAACGCCTCTTCAAAAATGAAATCCTTTGCGGACTGGTGCACAAAGAAAACTTGGTCTTCTTGCAGAGCAAGGAACGATTTGCAAAGGCTGATGGTCTTTCGTACAGACCCAAGGGTAGTGGGATAGTCCTCAGGTAGCTCCACGAGCGCAACAAGTTCGGAAATTGTAACCGGCCGATATAAGACTGCAGTCAATGCCAGTACCTGCCGGCAGGTCTCAGCTCGGCCTGATTCTCTGATGTGGCGCAACATCCGTTTGTATAAGGAATCTATCCCAGGGGGAAATGAGGCTAGCTTGTCCAGCACGCTGTCTTTTGGTGTCAATGCAAGAACTTGACACGCTAACGTTACCCAAAGAGGCGTACCGCTAGCATCTGACATGAAATGTTGCATCACAGCATGTCGAGTCTCTTCCTCATACTGCCCTTCCTGGGCCAGCTGGTCCACCTCTTGCTTAATGGTCAAGGCAAGCTTCCTCGCCGCATCCAACTCCGCATTTAGCTCGAGGCTCAACCCGCCCTTGTGCCAGGCTTCCTCCAGCTGCTCTTCAATCTCTGGCCAGTTGCGGCTCGACATGATCCACTTGATACGGGAAGACGCAGAAGACTGCTTAGCGATGAAACGAAGCAATTTCGGCAGATCAGTGACACACTCGTCGAGTGCATCAATGATCAGGTATGTATCCCTTAGCTGTGGGTCTCGTAGCACGTCCGCGAAGATCTGTGTCAATGCGACCCAGGAATTCGCATCTTCGAACAAGGCTTTGCCCGCATGATCGTGCTTCTTAAGGACATGCGATACAAGCGACGGTTGCTGGCTCACCAGCATATACAAGAGTCCTCGTAGCACGGCTCTAGCGCTGTTGATGCGCAAGTCGCTTGCTTGGCAGAAGCAGTACGCTAGAAGAGAAGTCTTAGGCAGTACGCTATGCAGCTCGTCTATGATGCCGCAGAGCAGCATCGTCTTTCCCTTACCGGGATCGCCTTTCACCCACAGCAGTCGGCTGTGTGGGTCTCGCTGCCATTGCTGGAAAGTAGCATTGTAAAGAATCCAGCGATGGGAGTCAGCTAGCAATCCGCCATTGGACTCCTCGATGCGCTTCTTGTCGTCACGCGGATCCGTGTGGCGTACGTATTGAACGCATCTTTCTAGCTTGTGAATCTCATCTATCAGACGTCTGAAAGCACCAGTTGCACCTTCGCCATACATTGGCGCTAACTCGACATCCAGGATGCCTTGCAGCGAGTACGCTCCGTCTTCTTCGCGATTGGTCACCCGGCCTTCTCTCCACCGCAATCGTTCGTTGACGCTGAACTGTGAAAGGGGAGCTCCATCGAGAGCTTCGAGTGAGATACTGGTGATTTTGTGAATCAAGAATTTGAGCGATCTCTTATCACCAAGCTTCGCCCCCTCTTGAGAGAAGAACTCGACAGTGCTTGGGGCAAGAAGCTCTTGTAGCGTCCAGCCACGCGTGAACCATCGGCTTGCCCTGAAAGCAGACTCATAAGTGAATATGTCGAGCATGTCGTCAGCTTCCCTCATCCTTGTCGATACGTCTGACAGATACACGTAGCATGTCGTCGCGTTCTGATACCAGCGAAACATGGATCGGATAGCGTGAGAGAGCTCAGCCTTGTCCGTCTTGTCGATGCAGCAGGTGTCAACCCAGAAATACCGCAGGGCATCTTGCCGTGCTTGTTGTCCGCAGAAGCGAATCTTTTTGTAGCCGCGCTTGGCCTTGCCTTCGCTTGTCCCAAGGTCGGCGAAGGTCACCTCCTCCGCATCCGCTCCCCATGTGTGTGACAATACCGCATAAGGCGGTGTTGCGCGATCATCGAAGCTGACAATCCCGAGCTCGTCATGTTCGTCGTAGCGCAAAAGACGCATCGGTTCGAGTGTGTGTGTGACAGGCGCATGGGGTGAGAAGGAGACGCGAGAGACTCGACGCGGCAGCCTGGTAGGACAAGAGCGCGGCGGCTGGCTCTCTCAGACGAGCTTACGGACAAGGGTACGAATGGCTACAAAGCCCCGGGTAGCTACGCGGTTGAATCCGTGATCTTAATGTTGCAGGCTGAAGCTGGTGTTTTGCATCATGTTCTGAACTCTGTGAGGATGCTCAAACGGCCTGGAGGCGGGGGCAGACGTAGCTGATTGCGCTCATGCAGGCCCAGCACAGCCCTGACGAGTCGCATCTCCGCAACGACCACGCCCCCGTTGCGATGCACTTCTCGTCATCCAACATCTAGACTTGACTGACCTTGTTTGTTACAGTCGCGAGGTGGCCGGTTGAAGATGGTGATGAGCGCGTTGAGAGATCTCTAGCGGCACAGCGCTAGGATTGAGGCCACGGCGCAACAGCAAGGCTGGGCAAGAAATCTGCCAGCCTGCGCCACAGTTGGTCTCAGCGGCCGGCCCGCGGTGGGCATAGCGCTGAATACAGTACGATATCTTACAGCTGCATCTGTGTACGCTAATGCAGCCCCCCACGTGGCAGGCGAAGCTAGCGCGTTCCGAGCCGCTGTATTGCCATCTGCAATATTCACTCCTGATCGGCGAAACTGCCGAACTGCACTTTTCTTTAGTTAACACGGCTTTTGATGCCTAGGAATATAATCGTCCATGACTTCGCTTCCTACCAGACCCTCCGACTTTCGCAAAGGCCCCTTAGGCCGTAAATGGACAGGGAGGTATCGACGAAAGGCTAATTGACGGCGTTGACGAAGTGGTCAACAGCAGAGCTAGCACGGCAGCACTCGTTTTCGGAGGCAAAGAGACTGGTGAAGATTTAACCAAAGAATGCTGCATATCTATCTAAGGCCTGTAAAATGAGTGAACAGGAGTCTCCGAAGGCGCGGAGTGCGAACTTGTCTCGTTACACCGTGCGTCTCGACACGTAAGGACGGACCTTAATAAAGCATTCGGACAAAGCGATCTAATTACAAAAATGCCGAGAATGATTAGCAGTCTTTGCAGTAGCTAGCAGGGCGTCTGCTTTCAGCCGTGTCTGACCTAAACCCAACGCATGCTGTCCGAATCTGGTCTCTGTTTATACATTACTGTCGCTTCAGCATAAAGCCTCACGACTCCAATGTCAACGCAAACTAGCTACCCACTGTGCTTTAGGCCTAACATTCGACATTCTGAATGGTATACTCTCCGTCTCCCTCAACGATGCCGCAAGCATTGCTCCAGCCAATCTCAGGGTCATCGCTCTCTGCGTTGTTCAGCTTGGCGTCGGGAGCGCAGCTGGCGCCCGTGGAGTAGTAGCTAGTTTCCATTCTGGGCGCGGCGTTCCAATCGCAAGCATCAGAAGCCAGACTGTCTGGCCTGCGGCGGAGCTCTCAAGATGATGGATGTCTGTGAGTTTTGCGCACATAGTACAGTAGTAGTATCGAGCGTGCTTTCTGCTGTGGCGATGCTTGATGCGATTCCACCGACTTCCAGTCACACTTGCATCGCCCGAAATGTTGCGGCTAGTCAAGTTTTGATCGCAATCACCCGACCTGTGTCGTTCTCTTTCTGTCGGAACTTCACCCGTGGGAGTTGGAAGCGCTGTGTAGTACATGATCGAATCAGCCGTACTACTCGGATCAACGGGTGTAGTGTTTCTGCCAGAGCCTGTACCGATCTGGACTGAGGCACAGTTCATGAAAGACTTGTGCTCTCGATTCAGCCAGATCCAAGCAAAGACAGCTGGCCCGCTTGGCATATTCAGAGGAACCTTGAAGTGGAAGACCTGGGGATCATCCTCCTGCCGGTGGGGGCAGTTCCCATGGTACGAAGCTGCGACTTTCCACGTCTGGCCTCTGTCCACGGAGAAGCCGATCTGACAGCTTCCGCCATAGTGCGTCGATCCTGGAGCATCAGCGGTGTACGTATAATCAGACAGCTGGAAGTATGCGTCCTGGCCTGGTTCCCATGCTACCTGCGGCCGGCCTTCTTCTATGTCCAGAAGATCGAGATGGCCACGGCAGTCTCCAGGGGAGGGTAGTGTTGGCCTGCCGTCAGAATCACAGCATCCGATGGGAAAGTTGAGTTCGTTGTCCACCTGCGTCGTCAAGGGGTTTGCTTGCAGACTGCTACCTAGAGGGGGCGGATACCACAGCGACATGTGGGCTCGAGTCGCGACCGCCAACGCTGCTAGGAAAACGTATATTGTTTGCATACTCTAGCGTAGTAAGAATGGGATCGATAGCTCACAGAACCATGGAAAGGCCTTTTCTTCGACGAATTTAAGCTTGCTGAGCTGACGCAGATGTATGTCAGTGCAGGTGTTGTTTATTGAATGCAGTACTGGGAGGTGGGTTGAAGCAAGCACTAAGTTAAGCGTGCAGTAGAGGTCATAATGTCGACCGTCTATTACCAAGCTTAGTCTAGTGTGGAAATGTTTCTACAGAGGTTTTGAACTGTACACTGTACAGTGTCATTCCAAAGTGGCGTACTGACAACAAGATGTATTCAAGACTATGTATGCGTCTGAATGCCGTAGTGATCCACCCATGGGCGATACTAAGAGTAGCTTGCCTACAAACCTAATAGCAAAGATAGGTAATCGTGTGTATATCTGCTACGTACTGAGACTATAGGAGCAACAGAAAATGGAGTGTCCAGTCGATCATACGCTTGTTTACAAAAGCCAACATGGTTTGGTCAGATGTCACTCTTCTAATTACTAGAGATCAGTCCATGCTACACTTCTCTACTACAAAAAGATTAGTCTCTGCAAAATATTTCACATCATCGAAGCAGCCTTTGCCATAAAATTTATTATAAGAGCCGCAGATACGAAAGCAGAGTCATCTGGGCACACATCTATGGACTGCTACATGGCGACGCAATCTCCACACCTCGCTGTGCAGGCATCACAACGTGATCGTGTGTTGACAGCCGCCACAGCTTGGTCCTGCTATTCCTACAGCTCGGACAAGCCAAGTTGGTCTCATGCGAATCTGAGTTCGATCTAGCCCACTGGAGAATACAGGCTCGACAAAACACGTGGCCTTAGTTGTTAGCTAGTGCCTCTAACGTTAAAGAGGGTGAACAGTAATGGTCTTGCGGATTGCCCGGGAGTCCGAGCGCTTTGAACGACAGGGGTATTACTGATTTGCATGTCTAAGAGAAATCAGTTAAGGTCGTAAAAAGCGAC